ACCCAGCTGACCAGAGCCTGCTGAGGCACTTGGATTTTCAGGAAATCATCACCTTGTGCTGGGAAAGTGGGGACAAGAGAGTTTGCTCCTTGGTGGCAGGGATTCATGAGTCATCCTCCAGCCGATGCCCTTGAAACAGAGCCAGAAAAGCTTTTACCCAAAGCAGCCAGCAATAGGATACCAGAGCTGGAGCTCCAGGATTAACCCTTTCCTGGGAGAAGCTGGCTGGCTGCCCTCCCTTGCAGATCCTTTCTCCTCCTCTGGTCAGTGATGAGTTTCCCCACTGTGTGCACCCATCAGGTTGGTGGATGTGATGCCAACACTCCCCTGGCAAGGTCGGGGAGAGGGGCATGCCATGAGACCCCAGTGCTACTGCTGGACTAAATGGGGTTGGAAACACATGCCCCTCACCTGGGGAATGGCATTTCTCTTCCACATGTCCCATCACAAAGCCTGCCCAGCAAACGGGACAATGTTTGGGGTTCACCAAAGGGAAAAAGCAACTAAAAAAAAAAATAAGGTGAAAAATTTAAAGCACTTTGTTTCTCTGCTTTGGGGGGAAAGCTCTTGATTCCTGCACTCCTGAGTCCTTGCTTCATTTAGGAACCTGCCAACTATCCATAGTTCTGATGGGATCCCCATTGATCAGTGTGCCAAGTCTTGATAGGCTTTCCCCAAAATAGGGGGAACCAGCCTGCTGGAAAATCTCATATTCCCCCCTTGACAGAAAACAGGTGCCTGTGGAGGACAGGTGGGAATTTCTGTGTTACAAGGAGCATTTCTCCCTTGCAGTCAGACAGGGAGGTGACAGCACCCACCTTTCCTGCCAGCCTGATGAAAATGGACCTATTTCCACAATGTGGAAAGGTGGGAGCCTCAACCCATGGCTGTGCCCATGGGCACAAGTATCACTGAGCTGGGACAGGGTAGGAGGATGAAGGATGCTCCTTGCCCTGAGCTGGGAGTGAAGGTCCATCCAGGGACACCATGCATGCAGGGCTGGCTGCAGCAGCCCAACCTCCCTGTGCAGGGCCCCAAACAAGCCCAGGCTCTCCTGGGGCCATTGTAAGGAAAAGGGAAAGGTGCTGGGAGTTACACTGGTACCCACTAACCTGGGCTGGAGCCTCCTGCCACAGCCCCATGGATCCAGGGCTCTCCACGGGGAGCCAAGCATCATTTGACCCACCCCAGCAGCCTGGCAGCAGTTTCGGCACCTGCATGGACCTGCCCTGAATGTTTAAATCAAGCTCAGACAGGGATTTCCCTCTCGCATCTTCCCACGGGCCACTGCGGAAATGCTCCTAGAAAGCACGGATTAGGTCACAGAGATTTTAGGTGCTTTCTTCACCTCCCACGGGGTTCTCCATCCCCACTCTGCTTCCTTACAGTCTGCACTGGGGGCTGCCATCCATCCCCTCCATCCGCAGGGATCCCTGTCCACCTCCCAGCCCACCCAAGACCCTGGGTGCAGTGCCTGGTGTATCTCCTACCAGGACAACTCACTCCCTTGCTACTGCATCCCTCAGGATGCACAGATGCTCTCTCACAAGGATGAAGAGCATGAACCGTCTGCAGCTAGAGGCCTGGAAATCCTGGGACACCTGCCCCGTGCCACCTTCACCCCACACCCTGAGTACCATGGGAGCCCCTGGGGCATCACGGTCCCGAGCTGCCCCACCTGTCCTGGGTTCTCTGGGCACAAGGCTGGGGGGATGCCCTGCAGCACAAGGCTCTGCAGCATTCCCAGGGGGCCATGCAGCATCCGCACAGGGTGGGGACACTCTGCAGCACAGCCGATGCTGGAGGATGCTGCACAGAGCTGGGCTGCTGCAAGGATGGGGCAGCAAGGTCTCACCCAGACCCTGGGAGGGCTCGCTGGGAGGAGATGGGCAATAAATGCTGCCCCAGGATCAAGATCTGAATAAACTGACCCCTTGAGCCTGCTCCGTGTGGAATAGGGGTGATGAGAGATGATGGGTCCAGTAGGGAGGGGCAGCAACCCCAGTGCAGGGCATCATGTGCTCCCTTGAGGTACATACTGATGAACCAGCCCAGTGATCTAGTGGGTGGCATCCATGCCCATAGCAGGGGGGTTAGAATCAGATGGTCTCTAAGGTCCCTTCCAACCCAAACCATTTTGTGATTCCATGATTCTATGATGATTCTAATTTTGGAGGAAGGACACAAAGTCCTGGCTGGGGAACTGGGCTCCCAGGAGATGATTTACCCAGCCACAGGGGAAGCTGGGAGGCCCGGGACCCCTTCCTCCCCCCGGCACTGGTGGTGCTCGGTGACCAGCACGCCTGGAGCCTGGGCTCATAAATGACCACAGCCTGACACTAGTGGGACCCTGTGGATGCTCACACCCAAAAACCAGTAGCCAGGGGTCAGAAACACCCACTAGACTGACACTGATGGGACCCCACGAGATGTTCCCTCCCAAAAGCCATGCAGCATCCCCGTCGTCTCCCATCCCCATGCACACTTCTCCCTGCAGTGGCGAGTGGGGGTGTTTGGAAAGATGCTCCCCTTGGAGACCCCCACTTGTCCCCGGGTGGAGACAGCACTTTGGGTTTGTTTCGGCAGAGCCAGGGAGCATCCCAAAGCTGGGAGCCAGGGACCGAAAACTCCAAGCAGCCTCCAAGAGCCGCCCAGCCGGGGCGGTGGCAGCGCACGGGGGGAACACCTGGGGACGGGGGGACACGGGGGACTGGGTCGGTGGGTGCACGCCCTCCCGCTTCCCAGAGTGATGCCGCACCGGGAGCCGCCTCGTCCCGCTGCTCCCACTACCACACTCATCCGCTTCTCCGCGTGGGGGACCCTCCACCCCCGCTCCAGGTACCGGGGTGTCGGGGCAGCCCCTCTGGCACCGGCAGCTCCGTCCCGGGGAAGGAGAAGCCCTACCTGTGTCCGGACGGACCCACGGACGGGCGGACAGACGGAGGGAGGGCTGGGGCAGGGCTGGGGGAGCAGCAGGGGCGGCGGCAGCCGGAGCCCGGCGGGTGCGCCCAGCCCGGCCCCCAGCCGTGCCCAGCCCCTCCGGCTCTGCCCGGCCCCCCGACTTCCTGCCCCTGCCCCGTCCCTTCCCTTCCCAGTCCTAGTCCCTGCCCCAGTCCTTCCCTTCGCCTGCTCCTGGTCCAACCCGTGCCCTATCCCATGACTTTCCTTTCCATCCCTCACCCCAGACATTCCCTTCCCTGCATCAACCCTTCCCTTCGCCAGCCCCTGCCCCAGTCTCTACTTCCTTCCCTTCCCGCCCCAGCTCCGGCCGCAGCCCTTCTCTGACTCTGCCCTAGCCCAGCCTTTTCCTTCCCTGGCTCTACCCCAGCTACTCTCCTACCTCGGCTGTTGCCCCTGCCAGGTCCCAGCTCCTGCTCGTGCCGCATCCCACACCCCTGTCCCTATCCAAACCCCTGCTCCCGTCCCTTACCCACCCAGTCCCTGCCCTTCTCTGGCCCGGCTCTGCCCCTGCTCCAGCCCCTGCCCTTGTCACAGACCCTGCTCAAGCCCCAGCCCCTTCCCCAGCACCAACACCAGCGCCCTGTCCTAGCCCCTGCCCCAGCCGTTTGTGCCCCTAAACCTGCTCCTCCCCAGCCCCTGCTCCTGCCCTAGCCCCTTCACTGCCCTCCCCCTGCTACAGCCCCTGCTCTTGCCCCTAAACCTGCTCTGCTCTGTCCCTACCCAGCCCCTGCCCTGGGGAATGGCTGTGTGGGGGTCCCAGGTGACACTGCTTAGGGTGACTGCCCCAGGGCGGTGACAGTGGCATTGCCCAGATGCACAGCATCACTCTGGACCCCCACCCTGAGGTGTTCTTGCGCCCAGATCCTCCTGCATATAAGACCTTACCCTGCCACCATCCTGGCGATCAGGGATGGAGACACAGATCCCACTTGCCCCGGAGAGGTACAGGGTGGGGACAGAGAGCTGTCGGACACGTGGTCTGGCCACCCTCCCTGGGACCAGCTGGGGGGCTCAATGGGACTGGAAGCCTCTGGGTGGGAATATCGCAGGCTGGGGTGCGGCTGCCTGGACCCCTCCCAGCCTGGGCGGGGGCGGGGAGGGGTGTGTGGGTGTGGGTGGGTGGGTGTGTGCGCGCGCGTTACGGTCTCCGGACATCTGGGATCCTGCTGCCGCACTTCCAGGCAGGAACATATAAATATTTCAGCGGTATAGCCGAGCCCTGTCAGGTTGCATTTGCTTTTGGCAGGGTGAGTGCTGGGAGAGGGGGAGGAAAGGCGAGGAGAGAAGATGCCCTTGGACGATGCTCTCTGAAGATGCGTCATCTCCCGGGAGATGGGGCACCAGCTCCGGGATCCGATTCTCGAGGGGCGCCACCTCCACTTGGCTCCCCCTCTCCGGATGCTCCTCCCTTCGGGAGAATTGCAGGGCCGTAGTTCCTGATGGCCGGACTCACCCCATAAGCAAATCTTGGGGGCTGCTGCCAGGCTGGGCGGGGGGGGGATGATGAGAAGATTAGAGAATTTTGCTTGGAGCACAGCAGGCAGCGGCGCGTTCAGGACTCTCTGGGATGTGGCACACCCCAGACTGCCCCTCGCCCCAAAAAAGAGAAAAAACGGAGAGACAGAGATAAATCCAAGCAGCTCAGGGGAGTTAAATCAGTGGAGGGAGCCAAGGCGGGGTGGAGGGGGGGGAAGGGGCGGCAGCGTCCTCTCGGGCCCCGCAGCCCAGAGGCCACAATAGATGGGCGGGGAGCTGACCCCGGCTGAGCGGAGCTGGAGAAGGGGGTATCCTCCCCCGCCCCGATACCTTCGGAAGCTGATTTGCCCCTCTATTGGGCACGGAACGGCCGGCGGGGCTCGGACGCGGGGGTGGGCAAACTCCTCCTTCTCTGCCAACTCCTCCCCTTCCTCCCGCACGCTGCCCTCTGGAACTTGTAGTCCCTGCGCTGCCCCGCACATGGGGCACGACTACATTTCCCGAGGGCCCCCCACATCCTCCTCCTCCTTTCCCGGGCTGGCTGTGAGTCCGGCGAGGGCAGGAGCCCCGGGATCCCCGCGCCGCGGCCGGGCGGGTTCGACCCGCAGCCCCCATGCCCGCCGCCCACCAGGTACGGGGTGTGCCGGGGGTGGGGGGTGCCCCCGGGGAACCCGCGGCTTCGGGAACGTGAATGCCCCCGGAATGCTGGGCATGTGGGGTGCCCCCAGGGTAGCGCTCTGTTTCAGGGAGAGCCGGTGCCGCGCACCCCCCGCCCCCCCAACACCCTCCTCTACCACGTGCCCCCCAAACCACCCCGCAGCGCCCATCCCTGGGGTGCTGGGGCCGGGCGGGGGAGGCATATAGGTGCCCACACGGTTGGAGAGGGTGCGTTTTGGGGAGCTTCCCACCCCTTGCTTTAGGGAAGGTGCTCCAGGGACTCGCGCTCCCCAGTTCTGCTTGGCAGCTCCCCACAAAACACATCGTGCTTTGGCAGCTTCGCTTCTGTGTCACCGACGCGCGGCTGGGGGGAGAGCATCCCTCGGCCCACCCGGGGCTGTCCCCTCTGGACTGTGGTGGCCGTGGCTCCACGGGAAGCTGAGCCAGAGCTCGGCGACCGACGTCGCCCGTGGCCCACGTTGACAACGGCATAGCGTGACAGTGATCCGTGACAGTGATCCGTGCCAAGGTCACACCAGGATAACCCGGCAATAAGCAGGTTCACACAGTGATAGCGGCCCCTGCTCTGCTCGTCTCCCTCCCCTTCCTTCCCCTTCTCCCCCCTGCTCCCTCTCCCACTTCCACTCCCTCTTCTCTCCTCTCCCTGACTTGCACCAGGGATGAAGGATGGAGCATTCCCTGGGGCTCAAACCCACTCACTTTCAGCGGGGCAGTTCCATGGATATTCTCTAGAGGTGGAACTTGAGTCCAGCCAGATGGATTCTGGACTGGAGTCCCTCCATGTGTGAGGACACACCTGCTGGGAGTTAGGAGCCAGTCCCCCTGGCACTGGAGCAGCTTCACGGTGCTGCATCCTGGGTTTAGTGCAGTTGGTTTCCTTTGGGCCAGCAATGAATGTGTGTATCCATCCTGGATGGACATGACAGGAAATGCGGTGCAGAGGGTGACAAACATCCCATTGGGGTCCAGGCACATGTGGCAGGGGCCGACCCACAGCAATTGGCTGCTGCAGGTAACATCCACAGCCCAGCCTGGGGACAAGCAGGTGATGGGGCAGAGTCCAGGCATGAACTGGCAGTGACCTCGCATGGCATGGTGCTGGGGTGGGTGCTTGAGGGGGGTTGAGCCCCTGATCATTACCCCTTGCCCTTCCTGCCACAGCAGGGGAGCCAGTGCTCCAACCAGTGCCCGAACCAGTGCCGGCTCACTGGCTGGCAGTGAGTGAGCGCCGAATCCCTGCCCTGGTCCCCAGGGATCTATTTAAGAGGTGGGGGCTGTTTGCCCAGCTGCGAGCTCTGGGACATGTGTGTTTTGGTGATGCTCAGCCTCCAGCACTGATATCCCATGGGAATGCCTCTGGAGCGGTGAGTCCTCACTGGGGCAAATGGGCACTTTGCCTCCTGCTGCTGCTTTTGGTGTCAGTCACAACCAGCTTTCCCCGGCTCATGTTCCCATTAGTCATGTTTGTTATGCAGCGGCATGGGGAGGCTCCAGAGGTGAGCCCCCCAGTCTCACCATGCAGGATCCACAGGGAACACAGACTGGGACCATGGACTTGTTTTTTAATGACCATTAGTTGTTCTGCAGTTTGCAGGGTAATCAGGTTTTTAGACCTTGCTCCCGTGGCATGGATTGGCACACGTGGAATTTTATGACATGAAAAGTACTGTCAGTGATCTGTTGTGGGAGCGGGGAGCACCCAGTCCAGGCCTTCTCCAGTCACTTCCCTCATCCCGTGACTGCTAATCAGTTCTCCTGGATTTGAGCTTTTAATCCTTCTCTGGACCGTGAATCTCATGGCATTTTGCATTCTCCCCAGGCTGGGCATTGTGTCCCGCCGGGAAGAGCCAAGGGGCAGCCGCTTGCCTGTGGCTCAGCTAAAGTCCTGCCAACTACCCAGCTACTGTATAACACAGCGGCCCTGTGCCCAGTGTGCACATTAACTCGCTTCCACAACCGGCACAGTCCCGGTGGTTGCTGCCATTCCCCTCCGGAGCATTCCCGACACAGAGCATCTGCGTCCCCCTGGGTCTGCAGCTCAGAGGGAAGCATTGCTTAAGGAAGCTCTAAAACCCCCCTGACTCTTAAAAGGGAGGAAAAGGAGATGCTAGGGTCTGAGGATGCCCCACTGTGGATCCAGGTGCTTCGTGCATCCAGGCTCCAGATGCACATGATTTACAAATGTTGCTGAAATGACCCCCCCTGCTTTTGCACAGCGAGACACATGGCCGCTTTTCTTCTTCCCAGAACACCTCCTGCGGAGAAGGTAGTGGTATTTATTTGCCTTGCGATTCTGGAGGAATTTTGAGCCCTCGCCAAATGCTGCTTTTTCCCCAGAAACTGCAGTGCCGTGGTTTTCCATGCATTCAAGAGCGCCTGCAGACAGAGAGGGGCCGTCTGGTCCGGCAAAGCCCGTGTAGCTGATGGCTCCCAGGATAACGCTGCTGTCCTGCTGCAGAGCCATGCCCAAGAAGGATGATGGTGCCAAAAAACCGGCATCAGAGACAATGCCGGACCAGCGCTGGAAGCTACAAGTCTTCTACCTCTGCTTCTACGGCTTCATGACGCAGATCCGGCCCGGGGAGAGCTTCATCACCCCTTATCTCCTGGGGCCTGACCAGAACTTCACCAAGGCAGAGGTGAGACATGGGCACCCTGTCCCCCACCCTGGGGTCCCCCTTTCCAGCCACTGTCACCACCCTGGGGCTGCCCAGAGCATCCGTCTGTGGTTCTGGGGTGCGTGGGGGGTGTCATGTGCCAGGCACAGTGGTGTGGTGACTCATGGTGGTGCTTTTTGGGGGGAGAAGGTGGTGAGGAGTGGGTCCCTGTCTCACTTGGCTGTGAGGTCACCCTGTCTCCTAAGTCCCAGGTTCAACCTGCCGTGGCATAAGACCTCGTGCCCAGGCTAGCAACTAGTCGGGGTGAGGCTTGATCCCTGCCCACCTGAGCAGCCTGTTAGATGGCAGGGGGTTGCCAGGCTGGGAGAAGCCCCACCCCATCCCACTGGGGAGACCTTTCCATGCTGGCACTGTGCACCACTGGGCTGCTGGCAATGATGGAGTTAGACAAGGAGGGGCCACATGTCATCGTCCCTCGACCAAGGGATGCTGGCCCCAATCCCAGCCAGCTGCTGTGTCTGTGGGAACGCTGCGTCCTGGCGTGGGAGGGGGCTGAGTCTCAGCCAGACCCCCAGCCGAGCACGCTGCTGGTCACATTCCTCCCTGAGGAGGTGCTGCGATGGAGGTCAGCAGCTGGTGCCCACACAAACCACATTCCTCCAGGCTGGGGGGCAACCCCAAGGATGTATCCAGTGCTGAGCCCCTCCTTGCCCACATGGCAGGTGACCAATGTGATCACACCGGTGCTGTCTTACTCATACATGGCTGTGCTGGTGCCCATCTTCCTGCTGACGGACTATCTGTGCTACAAGCCAGTGCTGGTGCTGCAGAGCCTGAGCCACATCTCCATCTGGCTGCTGCTCGTGTTGGGCACCTCCGTCCTGGCCATGCAGCTGATGGAGTTCTTCTACGGCATCACCATGGCTGCCCGCATCGCTTACTCCTCCTACATCTTCTCCCTTGTTGCCCCATCCCGCTACCAGCGGATGGCCAGTTATTCCCGCTCCTCTGTCCTCATGGGTGTCTTCACCAGCTCGGTGTTGGGCCAGCTCTGTGTCACCTTGGGCGGCGTCTCCTTCCTCACACTCAACTACGTCTCCTTGGGCTTTGTCAGCTTCGGCCTCATCCTCACCCTCTTCCTTGAGCGGCCCCGGCGCAGCCTCTTCTTCAACCGGCCTGGGGGTGCTGGTGACGGGGCTGCATCCACGGAGCTAGACAGGATGGCTGAGGGGGATGGCAGGGGGAGAGCACGGGGCTGGAGGGACGCGGTGCTGTGCCGAATGCTGTGGGAGGTGGGAGCATTGGCCAGGCAGCCCCAGCTCCGGCTCTGGTCCTTGTGGTGGATCTTCAACTCAGCTGGGTACTACCTGATGCTGTACTACGCACACATCCTCTGGAATGAGATCTCTCCCACCACGGACAACCGCCGGGTGTACAACGGAGGGGTGGATGCTGCCTCCACGCTGCTGGGTAAGCTCATGTGGGATGGGGACACTGGAGATGGGGGCGGGACACCCTCATCCTGCTGCATCCCACCCTTAGGAATGGTGGTCCTTATGGAATGTTTGGGAATGTAGGGGGTGGTCTGGCTTTGGGGGTCACGTGATCATCACTGGGCTGGGTCCCAGCCTAGGCCATGTGGCCCCTGAGGTGCTCACAGCATCCTTCATCCCTCCTCAGGGGCCGTTGCCTCCTTTGCCGCTGGTTACGTGAAGATCCGCTGGACACTGTGGTCAGAGCTGGTGATCGGAGTGGTGACGGCATTCCAGGCGGGGTTGCTCCTGCTCATGAACTCCACCACCAACATTTGGTTGTGCTATGTTGCCTACGTCCTCTTCCGTGGCTCCTACCAGTTCCTGGTTCCAATTGCCATGTGCGTGGAGCCCCTGGGGATCTGCTCTTACCCCGGCGGCTGGGTTGATTTCAGGGATTCACCAGTTCTCCCATTTTTCCCAGTTTCCAGATTGCTACCTCCCTCTCCAAAGAGCTCTGTGCTCTGGTCTTCGGGGTCAACACCTTCTTTGGCACCGTGCTGAAGACCATTATCACTGTCATCGTGGCCGACGAGAGGGGCTTGGGCTTATCTGTGCATCCCCAGGTAGGAATGGGGGGGCATCTAGGATGGAGGTGGTCCCTGAATGGTGTGGGATGAGGGCAGGGCTTCAAGTGTTGTTCTTTCCCCCCTCCTCTCTTCCAGTTCTACATGTATTTTGGTTACTTCACGCTGCTGGCCGTGGTTTACCTGCTGGCGGCCGTCGGTGTGGGCATCCAGCACAGCCGCCGCAGGCAGCCGGCAGAGCTGGCCTTGGCCAAGGAGCCGTGCCAGCGCCCCGTGGAGATTCCAGCACAGGAGAAAAGCCCAGAGGCAGGCACCGTGTGAGCCTGAGCGCTGGCACCATGACACCATGGCTGGCTCCTGGCTCCCTAAGTGAGCATCGTCATCATCACCATGTGGTTGGTCTCCTGTCCCGCTGCTGGTCCTCAGTGCTGGTCTGTTGAGGGTATAACCCTCGGGACATGTTTTCTGCTCCATGGAGACAGGGCTGTGCCCCTTCCAACCCCCAAACACAGAGCACCATGGGATACCACACAGGGATATGGATGGGGACCCCATCCCGCTACATCCCCATCATGGCACGGAGCCAAGCTACAAGAGGATGTTTCTTTATTCAGTGCCTTTAGAAAATGGTTTATAGGACACAACCAACAACAAAAAAATAATATAAAGATCCACAGGCTTTAAATTGCATTAATTACACAAAATACAGTAGACTGTAAGAAATAAAGACCGTGTGACTCGCACAGCTTTTATGGTAATAATTTCCATACAATAACAAAAAAAAGCTAGTTACGGATTTCTCTTTTTTCTTTCTTTTTTTTTTTTGGTTTTTTTTAGCACCTTGGATTTGCCCACACCAATTCTAACCAGTTTTGCTGCGCCTTCACCATTCAAGCCCAGCAAAGGTGGCATGGGGAGGGGGGATGGCAGTGCCTGCCCTTGATACCACACGTACTCAACACGCACACACATATAAACACACGCCAAGGGCACATCTGGCCACACATCGGGGCCACCCCTTCAGCCCAGTACCTGTTCTGGGCTGACTGTGGCTGTACCTGGGCTGCAGGGGCACGGACAGAGGTCCTGAGGGTGTGTGGAGGGGATGGGGGAGACCAGACCCCCACCAGAGCTCTGCTGGCTGGGAGGTGGAGGTGAGGATGATGATGGGATAGTCTTTACCTGGGGAGGAGGGAGACCATCTGGGGGAGCCCAAGCACTGCCACGGGACAGTCCCTTGGGTGGGATGCCAGGATTTTGGCTGGAGAAGACCCCATGGCCCCAGCAGCAGAGATTTGGGTCCAACGCCAAGCTCCTGGTTGAGGACAGTGTGGGGCTGGGGTGCTGGTCAGGGAGCCCCCACAGGCTCTTGGGGAGGGCACCTGACATGGCAGCTCTGAAATCTCCCTGTCAAGCAGCCTCCCAGCCAGCCATGCCAAAAAGAGCATCCAAGCAAGTGGGGGAACAAGCTGAAGTGGTTAAATATTAGGAGTTAGAAGAAGAGTGAGGGGACGAGGAGGAGGAGGAGGAGGAAGGCAGCCAGTTCATGGCTGCTCTGCCCCGGGTGGCACCCAAGCCCCTGCCGATCCAGGGCAGGGGCCATGGCAATGCTCTTTGGCTTCAGGTCTGCGGGAGAAGAAAACCCTGCGGGGCGAGAGCAGGCACGTGGAGGGAGCTGAGGACCCCAGGGGTGCCAGGGTGCAGGGTCCCCGCCCCTCCCTGGGGAGATGGGGGTACCCAGGGGATGGGAGGGTGGGTGTCACTTTTTGGCGGCAGTCATGAAGCTGTTCTCGATGCAGAGGACGATGAAGGCGTGCTGGCAGCTGCTGGCCACCTGCTCCAGCAGTTTTCTGGAGGTCAGTGAGGAAGCCTGGCCGGTGATGGCGCGCTCCTCCGTTCGCCACGTCTCGCAGTAGCTGTCGGGCAAGCGCCGGCCCTTGGCATCCGAGCCGTGCCACACACTCTTCTGTGGCCTGGAAGGATGAAAGGTGGGAGGCTGCTGCTGCACCCCCCCATGCTCCAAACCCCATTTCCCCATCGCTCAATCCCGAACTCACCATCCCGCATCCCGCAGGACATCCCGGCCGTCGAAGGAGAGGATACGGGTGCCGGCTCGCAGCGGAGCCCCGCTGCCTGTGAAAAGGGCTTCCCAGTTATTGAAGAGCACTTCATCCTGGTGGGAAGAGTTGGAAAATGGGGGAGGGGGAGGGTTAGCCCTGCTTTCACCCCAGGAGCATCCCAGGAGCTACAAGCCCCAGCAGCCTCCGGGAAGAGGAGATGCTTCATGGATGAATGGGGGCTTCCTTGGCAGTGGTGGGTTAATGGTTGGACTCAATAATCTTAGAGGTCTTTTCCAACCATAATGATTCTATAATGCTATTCTGTGATCCCTTGGAGCTCATGGAGTGTCAGGAAGGGAATGGGGACACACCTACCCGGAGGTTGACGATGGGGACAGCGGCACGGTCGGCCCTGCGCACGATGCTGTAGAGATCCTGCAAGCGTGAGGAGAGGAAGGCGCGGAAGGTGCCGGCCAGCCCGACCTGCCGGGCTTGCTGGAAGCACTGGAAATCAGCGCCCCGGATGCCACGCATGCCGCCACTGAGGGGGGTGTTCAGGGCCACCAGGTGAAGCTGTCAAGAGGGGACAACAGGGCTTGAGGGACATGGCTTTGGCCACCATCATCACCTGCCCTCGGCCAGCAAATGGCACTCACAGCGGGCTGGAAGTCCTGGTGCACGTGGGCAGCCACGGGAGCCGGATCCGGCCGGCGGTGGATGTAGTAGCTGTTGAGGAGCTCGTCCTGGTGGTGGAGCAGGGGTTGCTCAGGCAGGCGGTGCTGGTTGGCCACCACCTCATCCCCACGCCAGGGTCGGGCAGTGGGGGGGGGGACATGGTTACGGAGGGGGTGCAGGGGCCCGTGGGGCTGGGTGCCAGCGTAGTGGAGGGTGGGCGGCTTGTCATACACCTCGTTGTCCTGAGGAGGGGGAGACAGGCTGAGGGGTGGTGGTGGTGCCCCAAGTGGGGATGGAGATGGTTGGGGATAGAGATAGATGTGGTTGGGGATGAATGGAGACAGGGGTGGAGATGGAGGTGGTTGGGGTGGATGGAGATGGTTAGGGATGCAGGTGGAGAATGCTGGGGATGCATGGAGACGGGGACAGATGGAGAAGAGGATGAAGATGATTTCGGATGGAGATGGATGGGGATGGGATAAGCATGTATGAGGATAGAGAATGGGGATGGGATGAGGATGTATGAGGATGAAGGATAGGGATGGAAATGGGGGATAAGGGTGGGCATGGGGAACACAGGACTCACCAGAGCTGAACTGGGGATCAGGTTGTGCTCCTCCAGCTGTAAGGGCATGACACATCAGATCTCAGGGGCCCCCTTCTTCTCTTCCTCGCACACAGGTGGGGGGACCCCCGAGCATACTGAGAGTCACCACCAAACCCCCAGGGTGGTGCTGTCTGCACTCCCCAAGAGCCGAGTGCTGCAACCCAGGAGGGGGCTCCCCTCTGGCCCCCCCCTACTCACCAGCACCCGTCGGAAGCCCCCGCGCAGGCGGACATAGAGCTCTTGCCGGTCAGTCAGGAAGATGAGGCTGCCCTCAGGCAGCTCGTGTGCGGTGCTCAGCATCAGCTGGTATGTTGGCATGGCACGGAGCTGCGGGCACAGCACGGCGGGGGGCTCAGGGACCAGCCGTCTGGCACACAGGCAACACCCTGCCCAGAGCCCTAACTCACCCCCAAGGATAACCCGCTAGTGCCTGGTGGTCCAGGGGGTCCTGGTGGTCCTGGGGGTCCAGGGATGCTGATAGCTGTGAGGGGAGAAGGGTGAGATGTAGAGGGATGCAGCATGGGGCAGGATGCAGAGGTGCAGGAAAGGGTGCATCAGATGCAGCAGGGAAGGACGCAGTGGGGGGCAGGGAGGGATGCTGGGGTACAGGGAGGGATGCTGGGGGATGCAGGGAGAGATATAGGGATGCAGAGACAGATGCCAAGGTGCAGGAGGGATGCGGGGGGGTGAATGGAGGGATGTGGAGGTGGCACATGGAGGGATGCAACAGGGCAGGTACTCACCTTGTCTGTGGGGACCTGGGAAGGAGGGTGGACCAGGGGGGCCGGGAGGGCCAGGGGGGCCCTGCCGCCCCTCATATCCAATACCAGGGGGACCCTGAGGTCCAGGAGGCCCTGGTGGCCCGACAATACTGTCCCCCTTGGGACCCTAGGTGGAATGAGAGAACATCCCTTGTAGCAAAGCCCCCAGGGATGCCGCCCCCCGTCATGCCCCCCTTGCTCCCTGCCCCGTGAGGTACTCACTGGCAGCCCAGGGTATCCCTGGGGCCCTGGAGGCCCTGGCAGCCTGGAAACACTGGGGTTGTAGAGTGGGGTGCTGCCCGGCTCACCCTTCTCACCCTTAGGACCTGCATCTCCCTTGTCACCCTGTGGGATGGCACAACCTTAGGGTGAGTGGCCAGGGCACACTCCAGTACCCCAAATCGTGCTGGGTTCCAGCCACCAGTGTGCAAAGGCCTTACCCGCAGGTTGGTGCCAAAGTGAGTCGGGTCATAGGGGAAGTGCCCTGTGAAAAGAGGGAAAAGAGAGGAGAGCAGGGATGGGCACGAGCCACCCCTTGCCCCCCTCTGTGTGTGTGGACTGATCACCTACCTGGGGGCCCTGGGGGTCCAGCATCACCTTTCTCTCCCTTCTGTCCTGGGAACTGGTGGAGACCTGTGGGCAGCAGCAGGGATGCCATCTCAGAGCTGTAGCATCCCAGCTTGAAGGGACCGGGTTTGCCCCCAGTCCTGTCTTGCTGAGGTTCCCCAAACTGCCCAGATGGGGCTGGGAGAAGATACTCCCTTACCAGGAAACGCTGGCAGTGCAGGATGGCTGGAGTCACTGAAGGTCTGTGGAGATGCAAAAGAAGTGGCTGCAGAGACAGCAGCATCCCTGGGGACCCCCCTCAAAGCTGGTGACAGTCCAATGTGCTAGCCCCAGACAGGAGGCACTGGGGGACCCAGTCACCAGCACCTCCATCATGCTGACCGTGTTGTTACTCACATTGCCACTGTTGTAGGCTATGCTGCCAGGTGGCCCAGGGGGCCCAGGAGGTCCTGGGGGTCCTGGGGGACCCTGTAGAGGGCAAGAAGATGTGTCAGGAGCCTGCAAAGTGGACAGTCCCCACCATGGGGGGGGACATCAGGGCCATGCCCTGCTCCAGAGGGCCAACCAGCCCCTGAGAGAGGGAGACACGTGCCCTTCGCCTAAGAGATTGGGGTCCTCAGGGAGACCCTTGTTGTGTTTCCCCCACTCTGCAGGGCCAGCAGCCGGGGGGCTGCAGCAGTGCTCACCCGCAAGCCCAGCACATCTGCGGGGTCACCCTTCTCACCCTTCAGCCCATTCATGCCAGGACGTCCCTGTGGATGAGCAGCACAGATGAGCCTCGTCCCCGTCCCCCTGCCAACCCCTGGTGTCACGTCTGATGCTCCAGAGTCACCTATGACACCCTGGCATTGCCTCCGATGCCCCGGCATCACCCCATCCCTCAGGGACACAGCAGGGTTTGGGGTTCAGTGGATGAAAGACATGCAAACAGGGAGCAGGGATGGGGTGGAGGCGATGGCTGAGGAGACAAACAAACCGGGAGCAGGTCTTACGGGTCTGCCTGGAAAGCCGATCTCTCCCTTCATCCCTGCTTGTCCCTGGGGACCCTGGAAGGGAGGGAAGATGAGGATGAGGATGCTTAATATGGGAGCACCCACTGTCCCCCTTTGCCCAGGATCATCCTTGTCCCTCCCCATGGGATACAAGGAGGATGGTGACGGTGACTTACTGATGGTCCCATTGGTCCCTGCAGCCCCGGCTCCCCCTGCAGATAACGGAGAGGGAAAGGGCATCACCACCAGGACTACCCAGCAGCTGTCACATGGGGATGTGACCCCCGTTCCCACCATGCCCCCACCTTTTCTCCTTTCACCTTTGCGGTGACCACGGTCCCATCAGGGCTGATGATGACACCGGGTTCCCCCTTCTCCCCCTGCAAGAGAGGAGGAGGTGCAAGGGGACATGGAGGGGCCAGGCTCCCTCCTGTGCTAGGGCTGGTGTCACCAGCAGGACCCGGCAGCCAGCTGGGATTGGGGCCAGAAGTGTGACCACCCCATGGGGCAGAGGTGGCCTGGAGCAGTTACCTTCAACCCTGGGGAGCCCTGAGGACCAGTTGACCCCTGGTCTCCTTTTGGTCCCACTGGACCCTGCAGGGAGGACACAGAGCCCATGTCATTTCCACTCCACCAAAGGCAGACCCCAAACCCCTCCTCCATCACCATCACCCTGCGGCAAAGCGCAGCAGGACCAGCAACCAGAGCTGTCACCGAGGCCACCCCTGTGGTCCCCAGATGTGTCACTGACTCACCGGGAATCCGGCGTGGCCTGGTCTGCCCTGCAGAGAGAAGCAGAGATGCTTCTAAGAGCAAACCCCCTCTTTCCAAAAAACAGGGTGCCCTCCTGGTATTGCTGAGGGGTGGGCATGGGTGTCAGGAGGGCACCTACCTCTGGACCAGGAAAAGCCACCAAAGACTTCTGCAGAAAGAGACAAAATAAGGTTTTTCACCCCGATCTTTGCTCTGCAAGTCAGAGCTCCTGGAGAGGTCTCCCTCAGTCCCCCCACATGATGGCTGCTGGGAACACCCCTTCCTCCCCCCGAGGTTTAACTTCCCCCACCTGTGCTGAAGCCAGGTGCCAGCACTTACATCTTCACTTGAGAGAGTGATGACCTGTCCAGGGGGACCGGGTGGCCCTGGGGGGCCGGGCAGCCCCACACCATCTTGTCCTCGCTCTCCCTGGAAGACACAAGCCATCAGCCCTAGGGCCACCACCAGCCGATCCCCATCCCCAGCATGGTGGCACCTACCTTCTCACCAGGGTTGCCTTGGTCACCTTTGGGTCCCTGGAAGGAGAAGCAGGCAGGGGTGAGCTTCCTGCTTGGCACCACACGGAACCAGACTCTGGCTCACAAGAGGAGACGCCCTCCCACCTCCAGCTCAGCACCACCACTCTGGCCACTCCACTCTGCCTCTAAGGTCCAGGCAGCGAGCCAGGCTGAGACAGTTTTGCATGGTGAGTGGGGTGGCAAGGTGATGAGGACAGGTCCTAAGGTGTAAGGGCACCCCTGGCATGCAGTGAGCCAGGTCCCAAAGCAGGGAGGGGGAATTTCGGCTGGTGGAGATGGAGCTGCTGCAATCAAGGGTGTCCTGCCAGCAGTGAGGGGGCTTTTGGAACTGGGAGGCTGATGCTCCTACCTGTGGTCCAGGGAAGCCCTCCAGGCCAGGACGTCCATCCACACCAGGCATGCCAGCATCTCCCTGTAATGAGGAGTGGGAAAGAGAAGGATGCAGTAGGGAGCAGCCAGCCCCAGGTTGGGGAGCAAACCCAGGTGCTGGCACACAGCCCATCCCAATCTCCCCATGCTCCTACCTTCGGGCCTGGCAAGCCGGGCTGTCCAGGGCTGCCGACCTCTCCCTGCAAGGAAAGAGGTGTCAGAGCAGCATTCCTAAAGGCTGCCTGTAGGTATGCTGCAAGGATGGAGCCAGGGTGAGAAAATGTTGCAAGGCTTCCTCACCTTCGCCCCTGGCAGTCCTGGCAGCCCCTGCAAGCAACAAGGAGACATGAGCATCGCATGATGACAGGGGGCACGATGGCAGGGAATACCCCAGGATGCCCAGGATGGAGAGGGCAAGAACACAGCTACCTGTGGCCCTTCAGGTCCAGGTGGTCCAGGGGTGAATGACAGCCCCGAGCCCTCCATGTCACCCTAAATGGGGGGAGAAGGGGCTGAGCCGCGTCCGTCCCCAGCTCCAGCTCATCCCCCCCGCCATCATTGCAGTGACCACTTACAAATCCAGCCTCGTAGCCTGGTCCTGGCGGTCCCGGGGGCCCGGGAGGCCCTGGCTGCCCTCGGGGTCCGATGGGCCCAGGAAGGCCAGCTAAACCCATTTCTCCCGGCGGTCCTGCTGGTCCCATTTCTCCTTTGTTGCCCTGCAAAGGGGACAACAAGGGGACAGATGGAAGGGGACAACGGTCCCTGCCTGGAGCCTGCAAGCAAGAGGCAGTACATCCCTTCCCAAATCTTCTCTGGGACAGGACACAGATGCTCTCCACGATGCTCTCCTGTCTGGGGGCTTTGTGGGAAGGGGCACTGCCCAGCTCAGGTATCTTTCATCCCACCAGTTCCCCATGTAATGTCCACAGTGGCCACCAGAGGCTTGTCTAAAGTCATAAATGTGAATAATTTTGCACATGTGGCTGGAGCCAATGCTGCAGCAGAGCTTGGTGCTGGGCAGGGATGCTTGCAGGCATCCCTGGGCTTCCTGATGGTTCTCGGAGCACCAGGATCGGTCCTTATACTCACTGCCACCCCATCTGCCCCCTGGGTGCTGGCAGAAGGTTAGAATTAAGGGTAAGAAACCTTAATTTTTGAGATTCTTGCTCCCAGCTCAGGCTGCAGCGGATGGGCCATCCCAAGGGGCAGCCTGGCTCCCAGCAAGCCTTTACTTTCACCTTTGGGGAAGCGTGGTGGAGAGAAGCTGAAGCAGGCAGACAGGAGAGAGTGATGCACAGATGGGGTGTGGGCACCCAAAACCCTCCCGGCAAACTCTCTTCTGTGCCTTGAAACACGCTGCTCAGCTTCCCTGCCTGCCTCTAGCTGCAGCAGTGCCTGGAGCAAAGTCAAGGCAGGGTGGCAAGAGCCTGGTAAGCATCCTTTGGGGGGTCACCAGCTCTGTGCACCCTTGAGCTGTGGCACTGACCTGGGAGAAACGCAAATACCAGCATCCCCCTCCCCATTCCTGTGCAAGATGCCCCCCAAGCAGCATCCCTGCCTCCAGTATGCAATGGGACTCCCCCAGAAAACCCAGCCCAGGCACAGTACCTTGGGTCCCGGTACACCGGGGAGGCCGAGGTCACCCACGTCACCCTGGGGAGGAGGAGAAGGAGGGAGAAGAGGGTGTGAAGAAGCTGTCCAGCTCCAGGCAGGAGCACAATGGTGCTCCCTAGCTCAGGAACTGGGACCTGCCAGGGATGTGCCAGGAGCGTTGCCCTGTGGGAAAGCCATCACATGCTCCCAGGGCACGTGGGACAGGGGACACTCACCCGCTCTCCTTTGGGCCCTGGCTGCCCAGCCTCCCCGTCTCTTCCTGGAGGACCCTGAGGACCCTGAAAGATCCCAGGAGTTTGTTCCAGCACAGGGAAACCCCATGGGGCTGGCGGGCACTGAGCGCCCTACCGCTCAGGGTGGCCACAAGGTGGCCCTGGGATGGGTCCCCGTGCCCACTCCATACACCTACCGCTGGCCCCGGGGGTCCAGGGATCCCATCCCTGCCTGGCAGCCCCGGTGGTCCTGGCAGGTCTGTGCGGTTCATCCCGAATCGTCCTGGCTCCCCTGGCAAACCAGGCACGCCAGGTGGCCCTGGGGGACCGGGTGGCCCGCGCGGACCCTGGAAGAGAAAGGGGGGCCATGGCTGAGGGTGTCCCCCCACTCCTGGCCGGCAGGGCAGGCACTCACCCCCACTCACCCGCAGGCTCTCCAGGTCACCGCCGAAGCCAGAGCCCTCCATGTCAATGAAGGTCTGAAGGAGAAGCAGGAGGGTGATGTCAGGCACAGGGGGCTGCCCAGGGGCTGTCAGCAGTATCCCTCACCTCTGGGGCTTGATGGATCCCCCTCAGACCCCTGTGTCCCAAGGGGCACTCACCAGCTTGTCATTCTTGGAGGAGGGTCCTGGTGGTCCTGGGGGGCCAGGTGGTCCAGGGGGTCCCCTTGGCCCCACGCCTGGGTCACCCTGGCACAGACAAGAGAGCACAGTTTGTGGGTGCAGCCAAGCTGACAGTGAGAGGAACAGGAGGCGGCGGCATGTGTCGTGTGCTGCCTCCCAACGCTGGCACTGGCACTCACCTTCTCCCCCTTCAGACCCGGCTCTCCCGGCATCCCGGGGAACCCCTGGGGCCCCATATCACCCTGCGAAGGGGAGCAGGGTGGGGTCAGCAGGTGGCAAGGTAAGGGGGTGGCTGTTCCCCATCACCCTACCATCCCCCCCGCCACTTACAGGTTTGCCGTCCTCGCCAGGATCTCCCTAGGAATGACAGAGAGGAGACAGGTCAGTGTGCAGGTGGGTAGGGTGGGGGGACAGGGGACACCCCAGGGATGGGGGACTCAACTCACGGGCTCGCCATCCCTGCCGGGGGCTCCATCTTTCCCTGGTGGCCCTGGGGGACCAGTGACCTGCTCCACCACTGAACCATCGGTGTGCCGAGAGAGGGTCCCGGGTGGGCCGGGGTCACCTGGTTCCCCTTTTTGGCCCTTAGAGCCAGGGTAGCCAAATCCAGCACTGCCCTGGGGAGGAGAGGCAGATGGGGATGGGTGGCACATCCCTGAGGTGGCAGCCTCAGGCTTTGTCCCAGCTCACCCAGCAATGCTCACCTTGATGCCCAGGTCTCCCTTCTCCCCCTGAGGATCAGAAAGAGAGCGGAGCAGGTGTCAAACATGGACATGTCACTGACACCCTTGAGTCCCCAGGGACCGTGCTCTCACTCACCTTTTGGCCCTTGACACTGCTTGTCCCCATGATACCACCAGTCCCTGAGTCCCCTTTCAAGCCACGTTCGCCCTTCTCCCCCTTTTCACCTTTGGGGCCGGTGCCTGTCGGAAAGGAAAAGGGAGCCGGTTGTGCTTGGGGATGGCCACGCCACCACCTCCCCACTTGCGTGCCCCTGGGAAGGGGAAAACTGCTGGAATTACCTCCCATGGAGACCCGCAGGGTCTCCTCTGCTCTGGTCCTCTCAGCTTGCTGCGGGGACCCCCCACTGCTCCTTGGCCCGCTGCCCCCCGCCACGGGGGGAGAGGTGACAGGGACAGCATCCACCAGCCCTGGGACACCCTGTGCCAACAACGAGGGGACACCGTGGTGCCGTTCACCTCCCAGTGCCTTCCCATAAGGAACAGGTGCCGGGACACCATGAAGCATCCCATCACCTTGACCACGGAGGGCCCTCATCCCACTGAAATTCTGAGGTGCCGCCCTGAGTGCAACACCTGTGGGCAAAAACTCACCCCGACCTTCCCTGAGGGTTGGTGTCCACCTTCTGCCCCACTGCCGAAATCACCGGAGAGCTGTGTGGAGCAGGGATGAGAGGTGAGCTGGGGGCATGGTGGGGGGCACTCCCTGAGCCTGCCCCACTCGGGCTACCAGCGCTCACCTCCGTGTCATCCTCCTCTTCCTCGCACTGGCGCTCTGCCGCCCGCGGGTCCCCTCGCAGCTTCAAATCGGCAATGACCCCCTGGAAGGAAACCATGGATGGATGGGTGACACAGAGAGACACGTCACGAAGCCACTCTGCCATGATGTGACCTGTTGTGCCACTTGGCCACCGTGTCCTCAAGTGGGAGGAGAGGGAGGGATGAGATCCGCTGTCAACAGTGCGAGCAGCTGGATGAGGTCACCACCCAACTGGGGGCATTTGCTTACAAGAGGAATTTATATAATTTTTATTATGTATAAAAATATATTTGTAATACATTATATTTATTATATATCTTTAACTTAATCTATTTATAATGTATTCACATTATAATGTCACAGCTAGCCTGGCTGAACTGCAACTGCCCCGATCCTTGTTTTCTCAAGCCCATTATGTTTCCTTGCCCGGACACGGCACGCTGTGCTTTCAAGCCAGCCCAAATATTATTTTAGGTGAATTGCCCAGAGAAGAGACACCAAAGAGCAATTATCTCCCCTTTCCAAGCTTGCTTCCCACCATGGTCCCTTGGTCCTCCCCACCAGGATCAGAGGGATGGGTGGCATCCCATCCTGGCAACATCCCCAGCAGCACCCCTGTGTCCCACCTCAGCAGCAAGGACCTAAGCTGGGTTCTGGGATGTGCTGGCTGACCCCACTTGCATTGGGAGCTGTGAGGTTTAGGCTGGTACACACACACCCTCCCCAGTTGAGACCAGGATGCTACGGGGGTTTGTATCCTTAGGAAGGGATTTGTGGTGATTTCTTGTATAAACAAGTGGCCTGGATGCACATAGTGCTTGCAAAATCCAAATAAACAGTAAGGAAGTACAGATTATCCTAGAAAATACAAAATGTGTGCTGCAGGGACGAGGGCCTGCCAGCGGTCCTTGCATGGGGCAGGGAACCCTTGGAAGAAGAGAAACAAGGAGCACAGCTAAAAAGGTCCCTGTAAAAGCACTGCTGGGTGGCTAGCCCGGTCCTGGCCCCTCCCTCTTCTCAGCCCACCTGGTGCCAGGTCTGGCACATGGCTTGTCAAGCCATGCTGGTGGTACTGGGCAGGGGCTGCGAGGTTGAAACCTGGGGCTTGCCAGAGGCATTGGAAGTAATCCAGGTCCAAGCCCTGAACTGAGGCATTCCCATGAGGGATGGTTATAGGGGCCCTTTTTCAGATTGTTTGCTCCAATAAAGGGGGCAGCAGCACTGCCCCCTTACAGTGGATCTTACAGTGAATCCACAGAATCACAGAATCATTCAGGCTGGAAAAGCCCTGCAGGAGCAAGTCCAACCATTCCCCCAGCACCGCCAGGTCCCCCACTAAACCATGTCCCCAGGTGCCACATCCAGCTGCAAACAAATGCTCCTGCCAGACCCCATCTAGGACCCCATTACCCTCTGGGTAAGTGCTGTCCCACGGGCTTCTGCATCACCCGCAGGCTTTGCCCCCCCAGGTTCCATGCCACTGACACAAAGGTGACTCTGGAAGGAGCAGAGATGCCAGGACACCCCTCCAGCTGCCTGCCAGCAGCTCATCCTGAGGCTTGACCCAGGGCCAGCTTTTAATCTGCTCGATGCCCTGTTAGTTCCAGATAACGCGAGTCAGGGCTGGACAGCGATGGAAACACCACGAGGCAGTCAGATGCTGCTCCCTTCTCATCCAGCCAAAGCGGTCAGCCTCCTTCCCTCGATGGCCAGCTATTCCCCATGGGAAAACTGGGGGCGGGCGGTGGGATAAGGGGTTTGGCAAGCTTGGGAGCATCACCTGCTAAAAGGTCTGCTCTGCTCCAAGCTGTTGCTTTGCCTTCCATATGGTGCCAAACCGCCTCCAGCTGGGGAGAGGAGCTCCTCCAGGGCCATGACCTGGCCCTCCCAGCATGTTCAAGAGCAAAAAAATTGCTCTTCAAGGGCAAAAAGTGGCTCTTCAAGGGATCTGCCTGAATCCCAGTGCACACCAGTCTGTAGCCCTTCAATGATTAACCCCTTCCTGGGGGAGCTTTCCCAGACCAAAGCCATTCAACTTGGAATGTGGCAGCACAGTCAAGATGATGTTTAAGCTCAGAAACCTACTTTGCAAAACTTCAAGAGTATTGCCCCCCTCGGCAGAGCCTCTGTTGCTGGGCAAATCCTGCTCAACCCAGGAGAAACCTGAACATTCCTCTCTTCAAGCACTGCAGGGGATTTCCAAGTCAGTTGAGTATTTTCCCCACACTTTCCATAAACCTTATCTAGAACATGAGTCCTGCTCAAAGCACGGGCTGAGCTATCACATCCCTCCTCACTCTCCAAAGCCTTCCGGGAGATACCGCTCAGCATCAACCAACAAAGATATACTCCAGCCCAAGCATTTTTTCCAGCTAAGAGAGATATTTTCCCAGCCAAAGCAGCTCCTCTACCAAAGGAGTTGGGTATTTTCAGCAATAGTGAGATCTGAAGAGGCTCTGTGAGTTTGCTGGGAAAAGGGACGGGCAACGGTGGCTGCTGTAGGGCAACCCCATGTCCTCCTGCCAGCCCACCTTGAGAGCTTTGCCTTGGTGAGCCCCAAGATGATAAAATTAGAAGCATCTCAAGACACCTTTTCCCCCATTTCAGGTGTCCCCTTCCCCAGGGACACACACCGAGTGTGGCCTCTGGTTGTCTTCCAGGCAAAAAGGACAGTTCAACAGGCACAGCTGGTGTTATGTCTCTCGAGGCTTCTTGGAGATGCACCTTGGGGTGACCCAAGGCCTTACCTGGTATTTATCCGGGTCAGCCCCTCCAGCCTGAGCAACAAAGAGCCCGGAGCCATCTTCCAGCTCCATCTCGTCTGGGGAGCGCTCAAACCGGACCCGCTCATGCTCCTCGCAGTCCAAGTAGAGGATGACTTCATCCTCCTCCACGCTGATGGCAAAGCGCGTCCACTGGTTGAGCAAGGTGGGCACGGTGAAGGTGGCTGCTGGATACGAGCTGGGTGAGCCCGGTTCCGTGTAATAGAAGATGATCTGCTGCTTGCCTGCCCGCAGCTCTGAGAGCTTGACGCCCACGTAGATGATGCTCTGCGAGGAGTCCGTGATGGCAAAGAGCACACCGGCCCAGGGGGTGGTGGGCTGGATGTGGAACAGGAGGGAGAAGTCCCGGTAGAAAGGGCTTGGCAGGTGGTACCGGGCCACCTGGCCCGTGTTGGCATTGGGGCCGAAGACATAGCCAGGGTTGTTGTCAGGGCCATAAATTTTGAGGATCTCCTCCGGTGGCGGGTCTCCGATGAGCTCCAGGAGGCTGACCTCGGCACTCAGGTTCTCTGCAGGAAGAAAGGAAGGGGATGGTCACAACCAGCCACGCAAGGATGGTCACTCAACAAGGTGCCTTGGGAGGACACCCCTGGCCACACCTCCCCCAAATGCAGTTCTTCAGTGGCTCCCTCTGCTCTCCCTCCCCAGGGACCGAGATTTTCCTTCAGGCTGTGGGTTGGCCAATGCAGCAACCTTGAGCTGCTCCCATCAGACCATTCAGATGTGACTCCCAAAATGCCACCCAATCCCTGCAGCTGGCCCTCCAACTGCAGTTGGGACACCATAGCATGGTTTGGGTTGGAAGGGACCTTAAAAATCATCTAATTCCAATTCCCCTGCCATAGGCAGGGACACCTTTCACTAGACCAGGTTGCTCAGAGTTCCCTGGATGGGATAAAACCAAAGGGATCTTGTCCACGTTAGGGGGATGTTGCTGGAGCACCAGGATGCTGAACAACCATGGAGCCCTGAGGAAGTGTGCTGCACCCATACCCGCTCTGGGGTCACAGTGACCCCTCACATCATCCCGGAACAGCATCCTAGGGTCACCCCCGCTAGGAATAAATCAGAACCATCCCCTTGCAACACCCTGGGAATGCGGCTCAAGCCAGCGTGCCCCATCAGCTTCCCAGATGCTCTCAATTGGCGGTTGCCTCCTTTCCCAACTCCTACTGAGAATTAGAGAATTAGGGAGGTTCTGCTGGAGACGGTCTCTCCTCCCCGATGCAGCTGAACATCTGGTCAGGGTGAGCTGGCCGTCTGTCCGCCAGTTCCCGTTGTTTTGGCAGCAAGCACATCCTCATCGCCCACACACTGGGTGCTGGATTCCTCCTCTCCTATGTCAACTGCTCGGGGTCAGTGCCAGCTCCATGGGAGTGAACATGCCGGGTGCTTTTTAACCTCTCATTTCCTAGGAGTGAGGAAACCCAACCACCCTGGCTCTGAAACAGCTGAGGGATCTGCACTGGAAATGAAACAAATGCTCAGTGCTGATTTTTGGCCCAATCCTGAGCCAGGAGCAGGAGCTGAGGCAACTCGATGTCCCCAACTCCTTTCCTAGTTTTCATGTGAGTGATGGGGGAATTAGACGTGTATCCTGGAGTATCCTGGGCTGAACCTAGGAGGATCAGCCAGGAACCTCCACCCAGCTCTAGAACCAGGCATTGTCCTCCAGAGCTCTTAAAAAAAAAACATTAAAAAATAAACTAAAAAAAAATAGAAAGAAGGAATCAGTCCAGCCTTGCCCAGCCTGGAAGGAAAACACATCTCTTGGGATGGTGATGAAAACCTGGGTGCCCCTTCCAAAGCCTGAGGGACATGGAGCATTCCCAGTCTGCCCCTGCTGCTGAGCCCCAATGCCAGTGCCACCTCCGTGACAGGGACCTAGCAGTGGGGACATTAGAAATGACACCAATTAAAGGTGGGGGCAAATTTTTACTCTGCCAGACCCCAGACCCACTGATCCTCTTCTGAACTCTGAAACTGTTCAGTATCCACCCTGCTCCCCCAAGACCCCAGTTCCTCCCAAGCCTGGCATCCCAAAACTGACCTGACTGGGAGAAAACCTCACTCCTGGTCTTCCACCAGTTCTGGGCCCCTCATCTGCCCTCCACTGGGATCAGGCTTCCACACAGGGCATCCCCAGTCTGCTTGGAGGTGAACCTCTGGATCCTGAAGCTCGGCATCCTTTCACTCTCAGATGTGTACAGCCCTACACCAAAAATGATGGGGCGAGCAAGTGGGGCTCCCTCAGACTCAGACTGGCACCCACCCACAAGTCACCCCCTGCTCAGGCCCCCCACAAGCTTGCTCTAATTGCAAATGCCAAGATGCCGGGATAGAGCTTATCTGGTGTTGGAGGAAGCCAAATTCTCAGCAGCTTTAGGGGAAAAGGAAACCAGAGCTTCCTCCCGGGGATCCACATGGTGTAAGAGCCAGCGCTGCAATTCCTGCAGCCAGACAAGTCATTGTGTCCCCTCACCAGGGCTCGGGATGACGGGGGACACGCTGAAAGAGGCTTTTGTTAGCAGTGTAATTTTCAACCACGCTCCCCTTGGAGCTCTGGGAGCCTCCCTCCTCTCCAAACACTCCACTTGCCCCCAAGTCTGGAGTGGGAGCTGGGTGCCAGCACTTCCCAAAGCAAAAGGAGACACACCCTTTCCCTGAGTGACAGCAGGCAGAGGCTGGATGGGGACTGGGGAGCAGAGGAGTAAGTGGAGACCCCTTCAAATGTCTGCTCCCCTCCAAAAGCCAAGTGTCCCTTCTCATCCACCAAACCTTTCAGGCCATACCTCCTTTTTCCAAAAGAGATCCAGAGCCCAAATATTGCAGTCCATGATCCTTGTGGCAAACCGGCAGCATCTATCATGGAGCATGGAGAGATGGCAGAAGCTGCAGGTTTGTTTCTGGCAAAGGATGGCTGTGGGGATGTCCCTTGCTGCAGTGATTCTGCCATTGGAAAAGTCCCTGGGATGCTCCAAGCCACCATCCCTCTCTGCCATGACTTTCCTGGTTAGCTTGAGCCAAGGCTGCCAGCATGGCCCTGCACATCCCATCCCAGCTGAGATGCAGGGGACCTCCAGCATGCAGGAGCATCTCAAGTCATTCCATGGGGTGCACCACAGCCCCCACTCATTGCTGACGCTGCCCATCTGAGACACCATGGCGCAGTCTTGGATGGGCACGCACCTCCCCTCTGAGCATCCCCATGGTCCCACTGCATCCCCCCAGCAAACAGAGACTCTTTGACACTGAGAGGACCATGTGTGGGACCCTTGTCTGCCACTACCCCCTCCTCTCTCCCCCCTACCCCCCCAACGCCCCTCTGGTTCCTCGTTGGCATCTCCCGGCTATCACCCGAGGGCACGGGGCCGGCATGGGAACACAGCCTCTTTCAGAGAATTTGTGGGGGGGGGGAGCTCCTGCTTTCATCCCAATGTGCATTTCTCCAGGCACCAGTCACCTCCCTCGCACCCCACCTCCCTCTTGTCCCTTCACCCCCTTGCCCCAGAGGCATGTCTGGGTCCCCCCGTTTGACACACAGAAAGGTCACAACCACCAAATGACTAAGCGGGAAGTGAAGTAACCTCTCCTGCTTTTCTGAGCAGGCAAGGATCAAACATTAGCCGTGGGGTGAATCATTAACCCCAAAGTAAAGGGCTGCTCCAGGAGGGGGGAGCGTGCCCGCACGGCCACGGGTCACCTTGAAACCTCCTCACCACCATGGTGCTGCGGTTGGGTGACCACAGGACAGAGGTCTTTCCCCTGCTCCTGCGGGGAGATGCCAGGTCTCCAAGTGTCCCAATCCCAGGATGGACACCCCAAAGCACTGTGGCACTGGGAAAACAGCCCTGAATGCCAGCATGATGTTCTTGGGGAGCATCTCCTGTCCCGACCACTAGGACACTGTGTTTCACCAGGGGTAATGCTCAGCCTTGTGGAGGGAGTCAAAACCCGCTGGTTCTCCGAAAAAGCCAAGGCTGCATGGAAAGTGGTTTTGGACTCAGCAGCATCCCATGGGGACAAGGCAGCAGCATCCCTCAGCGCCTGGGGGCAGTTTTGGGAGGGGAGACACAACACAAGGATGTCACCCAGCCACGTTACCTGCAGAAGCATTAATAAAGACACAAGAATACCCTTCATCCTCCTCAGGGAGAGCATCGCAAGGCAGAGGCAGGCGCCCACCAGCCAAGTGAATCCAACACAGGTCTCTGACGGCCTCGCAGAAGCCCTGGCATGGTGGGGGGGTTACGGGGACCGAGGCACTACACCCGGGGAGCAGCAGCAAGCAGAGGAACCACTCCAGGTAGCGATGGCACCGCGATTCAAGCAGCCCCTCCCACTCATGCAAAGCCGCCCGAATTTCCTCCTCGCTGCTGTGGCGGAGGTAATTTGGCAATCGGACATGGCTGGTGCCCAGTACGCTGCAGAAGGGCAGGTGGGTTGGGATGGGCAGGCAGTGGCTGGCAGCTGGCATCAGTCCAGGAAAGAAGGATGGCAGCCCCACGCCATTACTACCGTAGAGCCGCGTAGTGGCAGTTAGTAAATTGAACTCAAGAGGACTGGAGTTATCAGCAAGAGGAGGATTCACACCATTATCCACCCTCTGGTTAGGCAAGGGGGAGCTCTGGCTCCTGTTCGTGCTGGTCAGGGCCAGCCCCTGGTGGCCAGTGCCGTGCCATAGGTTCGGTGATGCTTCACGGTGGTGATGGGGAGGTTGTGCCACGGGGTCCTGGAATGGCACTGCCTGCTTATGGGTACTGTCACCTGGTGAGAAAGGAGAAGGGGCACTACCTGGCTGGGGACTTCCTGGTCTCTGCAAGGACATCCATGTCTCCATTGCTGTGGGGGTCCCTGTCCCCAGGAGCTCCGAGTTCTCGATGGTCCCTGTTCTCAGGAGCTGTGGGTCCTCAGTGTTCCCCAGGAGCTGTGGGTCCTCAGTGGTCACTGTCCTCAGGAGCTGTGGGTCCTCAGTGTTCCCCAGGACCTGTGGGTCCTCAGTGGTCACTGTCCTCAGGAGCTGTGGGTCCTCGGTGTTCCTCATCTCCAGGAGCTCTAGGTCCTCAGTGGTCCCTATCCCCAGGAGCTGCAGATTCTCGGCGGTCCCTGTCCCCAGGAGTTGTGGGTCTTCAGTGGTCCTCATCCCCAGGAACTGTGGGTCCTTGGTGGTCCATGTCCCCAGGAGCTGTGGGTCCTTGGTATTCCTAATCCCCAGGACCTGTGGGTGCTCAGTGGTCCCTGCCCTCAAGAGCTGCAGATCCTTGTTGCTCCCTGCCCCGAGGACCTGCAGGTCCTCAGTGGCCCCTGTTCCCAGGAGCTGTGGGTCCTTTGTATTTCCCATCTCCAAGAGCTGTGGGGACTCAGTGGTACCTAACTCCAAAAGCTGCTGGTCCTTGGTGGTCCCCATCCTCAGGAGTTGCAGGTCCTCAGTCGTCCCTGACCCCAGGAGCTGTGGGGACTTGGTGGTACCCAACCCCAGGAGCTGTGGGTCTTCAGTGGTCCCTGACCCCAGGAGCTGCATGTCCTTGGTGGTCCCCATTCCAGGCAGCTGTGGGTCTTCAGTGGAGCTGCCGACCACATCCTGCCCAGGGGCAGGTGAGGTGCTGTGAGGAGGAGCGATGCTGGGCTGTGCCATGCTCTCCATCAGCCCTGTGACATTCCTGTCCCACTGCTCTGTGGTTTTGGCTGCGGTCCCCTCACCCGTAGGCACTGCTGTACCAGGATCTGGCTCCTGCTGCTGTGGGGTGGTGACATTCCTCACCATCTCATCACCCCATGTCCCTGGGGACAGGCTGGGAGCAGGAGCTGCCGCTGAGGGTAGTGGCTCTGAGGCTGGGATTCCCTTGCTGGGTGCTGCTGGGCTTCCAGTGGTCTTCGTGCTGTCCCAAATCCAGTCCAGGAATTGTGTTTCGGAGGAGGAGAAGCAGCTAGCCAGGAGGAGCAGAAACCCCAAGGCAGGTTGGGCCATTGGAAAGGGAAAAGGAGCTCTGTTGCCTCCAAGAGCAAAATGGAGGAAGGAAAGGAGGGAAGAGGCAGCAGTTTTGCCCCAGCCAGACTCCCAGAGCACTCACATCGCTTTCTCCTCCCAAGCTCCAGCACTCGACCTTTCAAACCGGAGCGGAGCAGTGGGAGGAGTGGCCGCGCCGCCGGCCTCGCTTAAACCCTCCTCTCCCCAGCGCCAACCTCCCACTCCCGGCACAGCCCCTCCGGGACTCCGCCGCCTGGCTGGGGACCCACCTGAGTCCCCCAAAACCTCTGGGAGCCAAGCCAGCCTTCAGACGCACCCTACTAGCTGTTCCAGCAGCTGCTGCCAGCTGTTTAACTCCTTCCTGCCCAGAAAATCCTAAATCCTCTCTCTCTGCTCGGGTGGCTCTGGTTAAATCAACAGCTGTACCTGGTGGGGTCATGCATGGACGTGGCCCCCATGGATGCCACCAGTTTCGGTGGGACACCCTGCTCCAGGGCTTGGGAAAAGGTTATAACTTCAGAGCAAAACAGAACGAGGAAGGAAAAAAAAAGCCAGAAAACATTTCCAATATTTCCACTGGCCGGAAACACAACGAGTCCCAAAAGTCAAGTGTTTAAAGCCTCTTTCCCGTCTCAGTTACAGGGCCAGGACCCCCCAGGTGCCGTCGCAGGACGGCAAAGGGGGACACTTGCAACCCCCCCACAACAGGCATCACACGCCAGACACGTCTCGAAGCCAGGTCTGAGCAATCACAAGTTTTCCAATCACAAGTTTTCTTGGAGCCCGGGACACAAATCCCTCCAGGCAGCACTGGGACTCTCCTACACCCCAAAAAATTTAATTGTTCTTCACCTCAGCTGAAAAAAATTCCCCCCAAATACACTCATCCAGCCTGTTTTCCCATATCAGCATTGTCCTGCTCTGGTGACAGTGCCCCCTATTCCTGGGGATCACTGAGCCCCTGGTCCCCTGCAGGGACGGAGCACATCCACGGCCCACACTGCCGTGGTGACACCGGGCAAGTCACCTTCAAGGCTCGAAAAGTGTCCCTGAGAAGGGATGTTGATGGGGAGGTGACAAATTTGGCTCTCCTTGGCCCCGTGACTGGGAAAGTCACAGTCTGCTGCAACGTGGTCCTACAGTGTAGAGCTCTCCTGTTGCTCTGGTTTAAAAACATCCAGGAAAATCACCAAAACCAATGTTCAGAAGTCCATTTTGCTTTACACAACATTTCCCACACTGCCTTTTAAGCAAAACGGGCGAGATTTCCCCTTAAAATGGGAGCTGGATGCTGTTGCCAACAGCCTGCCCCATGACTGATGCTGTTAGGGGCGCCTGTTGCAGAACAGCCCACCGCTAATCCACACGGAAAGCAGTTTTGTCTGTATGTCAGAGTTTCCACATGCCCCCCCCCCCCCCCGAAGCTCCTGTGCTCCCATCAACCTGAAGAGAGAAGCCAGGCATCTGCCAACCCTCCCTGGCGTGTTCGGACAGGACCCTGCTGCGCCCGGCTCTGCCACCCTGGGGCCAGGGCGCGGTGGCACAGCATGGTGTGGGACCCCCCCTCACCCTTGTGTCCTTGGCACACCCGAGAGGGGTATGAATGGCTACTGCTCCTCTCCCACTTGGTGGGATGGAAAAGCTTGGTGTTCCCACAGGCTCTTCCCAAAACTGGGGGGGGGTGATAAGTAGGGTGACAGCCAGCAGCAGGGATGTGATCCAAGCCCCCCAGAGCTGCCTCCTGGAGCCAGTGGGGAGCATCATGCGCCTTGATGAGCTGCCTCACCTCAGTCGGGAGGATTTCGGCAGCAGCACCATGCTGGGGTACCTCAAGCGTGTGCAGACATGATGGCCAGCCAGAAAAATTCCCATTTCTCCCTTTTATTGGGATTAGGCAGCTCATGATAGTGGAGTGGAACAGCAATCCCGTGAGGTGCCCTCGTTAAGTCAATGATCTTCGTTTCACTGCACACCTCCATGCCAGCAGGTCCCAGGGGAGGAGCCAGGGCTGGGGCATCCCAAAATAAGGGACTTGGGATTTCCAAAATGGGCACTTAAGAGGGTGGGCTGGTGCCACAGGTGGCACTAGAGCGTCTGGACCCAGCGCACCCAGCTCCACCACTGACCAAGCAGCCAGGCACTCGGAATGTGCCAGCTGGTGAAATATTTTGGAGAAGTATTTCCCCAAGGAGAAGTCATGGCAGCTGGTTTGCAGGGAAAAGAGCAGGGAAAAGCCCTTGTTTTAGCCTCCTCCAGGCTGAAGGCTCCTAAAAAGCACTTTACACACTCCACAGTATGCTGCTGCCAGCACGTCATAACCTTGAACTTCTTTAAAAGAAAATTTGGATCCTCATTCTGGTCCCAGTTCCCTCCCAAATAGGCTGGCTGCATCTTCCCAAGGCTGTGCAGCATCTGGTGGTGCAGCACAGTCCATCTGGAAAAGGAGGATTAGGTTGCCCTGAGGCACTGAGGGCTTGGTCCTGTCCCAGGAGAATAGAGAGGGAGAAAAAGAGGGGGGGAAATGGGAAAAGAAAGGAAAATGGTGGGGGGAAAGTGTGGAGAGGGGAGGAAAAAAGAGATTAGGGGAAGTGTGGAAAAAGAGAGTTGGAAGAAGAGAAGGGAAAAATGAGGTGGATGAGAGAGCTGGGAGAAAGGAGAAAAGAGGAAAAAAAGAGATTGGAGAAGGAAAAAATGAGAGGGGGAAAGGAGAGAGAAAGAAGGGGAGAAAGGAGAAAATAGGAAAAACAAGAGGAGGGGGAAGGGAGGGGAAGAGAGGGGAAAAGAGAGGGAGACAAGGAGAGAGAGGAGAAAAGGGGAAGGGGAAGAGAAATGAAAAAAGAGAGAGAAACAAAAAGATAAAGAGAGGAAAAAAGTAGGGAAAGAGAAAAAAGAGAGGAGAAAAAAAAAGGAAAAAAGAGCTTGTCATGCAGATTTCAGACCTGCAGCATCCCATCCATGGTTAAAGAACACCGATTATATTCTCTAGGGGTCAAAGTGGGGCCAAGCGAGCAGGTTTCAAGCGACCCCGGCAGCTTGGGGTGGCTCCCTGCAGGATTTTGGGAGTGGACAGGGACCCTGCCCCAGCCCAGCTCAAAAATTCCCCCCTCCGCAGCCCGAGGACTCCCCAGCAAGAGCTGGGTGGGCAGAGATGGACAGATGGATAGACAGGCAGATGAACTAGTGGATGGACAGACAGACGGACAGCAGAGGGAGCCTCAGGCCGAGCAGTGCGCAGGAGCGTCCTCGGGACATCCCACTTTGCTGGACCCATCCCGGTGATGCCCCATCCCGGTGGCCATCTTGGCCACCAGCCCAGAGCTCACTGAGGTCTGGGCAGAGAGCGCAGGTGAGGGGTTGTCATCTGCAGCCCCTTTCCTCCCGCTGCTCAAACCTCTGGGGAGGGCCTCACAAACCACGGGGGGACCCCAGGTTCAGATCCTGAGCCCCAAAAGATGAAGTGCAACTGCAGAAAGAGTTTTAATGCCAGAGATTGAGCCACAGAGGGTAAGACACTCCCCAGGGAAGGAAACCTTGACACCAGCACAGCCTTGACAGCGGTACAGCTAGAAGGAAGGAAGGAAAAACAGAAGGGGAAGGAAAGAGGAAAGAAAGGGAAAGGAAGGGAAGAAAACTGAGAGCAGCACAGCCAGGATGCTGGAGGTGGGAGCGCTCATGCACTGAGCAGAAAAACTCAGGGACTGTCAGCAGCAGATGGCATCTATAAATCCTAATGACATTTGGGATTTTAATCCATTCTCCATCTAAAAACCCAGACAGCAGTTAAAAGGCCCTCATCGAGACGCATGCCGAGGGTGTTGCCACATCCCAAGCCACTGACCTCCCAGCCCTCGGAGAGAGGCAGCAGGACCCAGCCCATGGATGGGCACTCAGCCAGGGAAACGCGAAGGCAGGGGATAAGGATGCACGGGGCCAAGCAGGCAGGAGTGACAGCACCATCATAGCCCCAGAACTGACACAGGTGCCGGTTTGCCGGGCCAGCATTTCCCCCCACAGCCTCTAGCTGTACAACACCAGGGAGCCCCCGGGACAGCAGCATTCCTAAACATTTACTCACGGAGAGCCAGAAACATCCTCCCGGCAAATTCCTCGATAAGATAAACCATGAAAATGTCAGGACTGCCTGGGGGAGCCATCAAATAACCCTAGGGGGAAAGCACGGTGGCCGTGCCCAGACCTTACCAGATCCTCCTCCTGCTCCCAAACTGAGCAGAGCTAGATGAGGCACAGCCAGGAGATGCTGCTGACCCCCTCTGCCCCATCAGCATGAACAGGACAAGGCAGCAGAGAACTGGGGTTGGGGTGCCTTTGACCCACGAGATGCCCTGGGGGGAATGGATGGTGGAGAGGGGCCATCAACGTCCGGGCACAGCAGAATCCAAGGGAGGTCTTTAAAGGTGCAAGGAGGTCTTTAAAACACAAGGTGAGCTTGGGGTGACCTGTATCCCCCAGTCCCACCAGTGTCCCTCCCATCCTCCCTCCACAGGGGCCAAGGTCTCTGCTTCCCATCACTTGCCTCCTTCCTGGGGCCAACAACAGCCCCCAGATGGAGATAAGGTTCTAAGGTTTGGGAGGTGAGGGAAGGAATGCGACCCCCCCCCCCATCATCATCCTCCTCCACAGTTAATAAATCACCTTGCAGACTAATTGCTCCTCGGAGGGGGGAAGACTCACCTCCTCACCCCCCACCAAGGTCCTGGCTCAGCCTGGGAGATACTCCTGAGAAGCCCCAAATTTCAATCACATTCCTGGCATTTTTGCCTCAGCATGAAGCCAAAGGGGCTCCGGTAGCGCCTGGTGACCACCCTTGGGGCAGGCATGGGAGTCTACACCAGTTAATGGAGGGGGGATCAGCTGCTGTCTCCATGAGGGACAGGCAGGACATCTCCATCCCCAGGCCTCCTGGGAATACAGGGAGACCAGTGCACTCAGCATCCTGGCTCGCAGACAGATGCTGTGTGGCAGGACGAGGGGAGATGAGGGATAGGGCA